AGGCACCTGGGGTCTATTTTGGCTATTACAAGGTCTGGAGTGCCTATATTGCTGTGTGACATCGTGTGTTATTGGGGATCTGAAATCAATAGTTCAAAAAGTATATTGTTAATCGGTCGCTATGGAAACGGCGCCATATTGGATTTTGTATACATGTACCTTTTAAATCCCATTTTATTCCCTTATTTCTTAATTGATTCACTTCTAATTTTGCATGCCAACAGTAAGTATGTAGCTCTTAAATTTGGCTTGTTGAGTTTTGATATACGCTTTAGTTTTTATTTTATGACAATTGGGTTGTTGATATGTCCATAAATCAAAAACTACTAAAGTAATACAAAATTCAACATGACAAAATTTAGAAATAGGTGTTGTTGGTATCCTCTGAAAGTCACTTTGAAATTGAACCAGAAACTGAGCAGAAAAATGGGATAATGTGTGAAAATAGACAATTGAGAGACAACAGCCGATAACGGTAAGAAAAGGCTGGAAGACATGTGCGTTCGTGGAAAAACCAGGGGCAAACCCCCCACAGCTTTAGGGTGTAGCAAGGCTTGCAGGCTGTGGGAGAGAACAAGCCAAAGGCCAGTAAGGGAAGATATTCAGGTGAAGAAATGGAAATGGATTGGACACACCCTGAGGAGACCCCCGACAAGCATCATCAGGCAGGCTTTAACGTGGAACCCACAAGGAAAGCGTAAGAAGGGAAGACCAAAGATGACATGGAGGCGAGCGGTACAAGCGGAAATTGAAAAAGCGGGAACATCATGGAAACAGATAGAAAAGGATGCTCAGGACAGGCTTTGCTGGAGTAATGTTGTTGATGGCCTGTGCTCAACTGGGAGTTAAAAAGGGCAAGAGAAGGCTTACATACGTTTCTGGGTATTGTTCAGGAACTATGATTTGTAATAAACCCAATTTGCATAATTTGACCCCAAAACACGATTCCTAGGGTGCCCCACCAGTCCTTAACTGTTTTTCTCCGGAAAGCTGCTCCCAGTGGCTCGCGGCCGGATCCCCTCCCTGTCTAGGCTGTGACGATGAGCTGCTGATAGAGGTGGGCAAATCCGGATAAATATCCGGATAATCGGATAATCCTCAATAAGACATTATCCGAATTCAGACTCTTTACTCTAGGCTAAAACAGGACCTGGACATGGATGGCTGGTGCCTCTGTAAATAAATCATTGATGGTCAGGTCACTCTTTACTCTTTTTCCTGACCCGTTTGCCGAAAAAATAAATGCACGCATTTGTTGAAGTTATGATAACCCGTTTGTCAAAGTGGTTCTAATCCATTTGCCGAATCGGTTCATATCACATTATTTCCCGTCGAGGTGCACTAACATAATATTATCCGAATTTTTACTTAAGCGACTCATTGCCCAGCCTTTATAGCTGCTGGGCCATCGGCGGCAGCTCGGGCACACACCTTTACGGCGACTTTGACACCAGACGACTTTTGGGTAATTGACGAAAGTATAATGTTAAGTATGTCTCTTTTACCGGGAGTTGGATGAAGAGCTATCAAATGTGAGGCATGCTGACAAAATGAGTTACTTTCTCGCAATCCACAAATGGAGGTATTGT